AAAATAAAATGATTGGCCGAATATCATTTTCCTTCGATTAATGGATTGCTGATTGAGGGTGATATTAAATGTTAGATTTTATTTATTTATTTTTAATAAAGACAATAATTAAAAATTAATATATTAAAAATATTAATAAAAAATATTAAACTTCAAACTTATGAGTGCAAATCACGAACTTGCCTTTGGTACACCAAGCAAACACCGTACCACGCACGTATAATGCATCAAATGTTAGATTTTGGTCCATCTGTACAACTAGGAAATATAATGAGGTGATCTAACCCTGTCTCGTTCCTATTGCCCCAACTCAGCTCTGGCTGCGGATTGGGGCATTCTTCGTCGTCGTTTTTCTGACGGCAATACCAAAGACTATGACCTCTTCTTCGTCTCCTCTTCCCCATTCCACTCAGATACAAATTCATTGGTTTCAATTCACCCTCTTCCTCCATCCATCTCTGTATCTCCTTCTACGATTCCGATTTTTGATCTTTCTACGAGGAATTCTGGGATGGTGAACGCCAGCACCGATGATCATCACGAGGAGTCTGGCCCTCTATTGAGCAAGCAGGTTGAAGAAGATGGGAGCAAAAGGAGTTGCAACGACAAAGGCAATCAGCCCAAGAAGGGGAAAGTGGATGCAGCACCGGATTTGCGTGATCTTTCGGTGGAAGTTGGGAATGGTTTGACCGCCGAACGGCTTTCGTTGGGTCACGGGAACGTGGTGGGCGAGCCGAGGACTCGGGAACAGTGGGACTCCGGCCTCTTCGGTTGTCTTTACGAGTTTTGCAGCAGCGAGTCAGAAGTTTGTGAGTCTGATTTCGTAAAAAATACTCAATTTTGTTAAAATTTGTTAATTTCTGTATGTATTCCCTTACAAGATGCTGATTAAGAGGGCAATGCATGATATTTGATCGGCCTAAAAGATCATAGTAACATCATCTAGTCTGTGGTGATGGCTTCAAAAGTGAAATATGGGATCTCTTCTGAAATCCTTAGGGAAATGGATTAGCTTTGAACTTTATTACATTGAAAAGGATTAAAGGTTTAAGTGTTTGTGATTTTGGGGGTTAAATATCTTGAAATTTATTTTATCAAATTTAGGTTATATGCTTATGGGCATTAGGTTGTTGTTGTCTGATTCCTCATGGGTCATGGATGAATGTTAATGTTGGTCCAAGAATCATCTTCGAAGTCATGGACTTTTTCCTTTCTCTTCCCTATATCTTTTTGAGGGGGAAGGTTGTCATTGTTCAGTTGGGCTTCTAGTTCTTGACTTCTCCTGGTTTAATGGGTTTCTTACTGCATTTTCATGTTTATCTTTTTCGCTTTATATTTTTTGTTTACGGCATCTGGCTAGGTTTCCTTGGAAGCAGGGCCCCATGTGTGCTGTATGGAAGCAATGCTGAAGGACTTATATCTGGTCCTCAGACCTTTCGAAATCACTGCTGGTTATACTGTGGTCTGTGCCTGATTGGTAATACGTGTTTCTTCCTGTGTCTCCATCCGTGCAAACTCCCTTGGCTCTGGCTCCGCCTCGCACCACGCCTTTCATTTCTCCCTTGCCTCTGCCTCGCACCATGCTTTTCATTTCCTAATCGTTCTGCCCTGCGGCGGAAGTTTAACCTGGAGGTAAGTGATTCTCAAATCCTTCCCTCTGCTTTTAAACTTTAATATTCCATGAATTGAGATAAGCACTTGAGTTAGGCGTAGTGTGTGTTGATTTTCTTTAGTTGTTTCAGGCATTACTTTTCTAGGACATTCGTCCCCTGTCAAAAATAGAAAGGGAAAAATTTATCATTCTTATATCACGCTGTTGTGGGATAAGCTTTTGATTGCTTTTTATGATAGTTTTTTTGGTTGGTTTGGGGGGTGTGAGTAAGGCAACAAAAGCAACAACTAATTATCCAGGAAACTAATTACCAAACGTCTTTTCAAGGCTCATTTATGTTGAGGATACTTTGACAAACAGGGCGGCTGTGAGGCACTTAATAGGTCGTGTGGCTGCTGTGGGAGCTGTTTGGAAGATGAGGTGCAACGTGAACAGTGTGAATCAGCTTGTGACTTAACAACGCATGTCTTCTGCCATCAATGTGCTCTTTGCCAGGAAGGACATGAGATTCGCCGAAGGATTCTTCATCCTGGGTTTAATTCTCAGCCTCTTATGGAAATGATTCCTCCTGAGGAGCAAACCATGAGCCACTGAGCCTGATTGCATCTGCTACAAGCCTGCCTGCTAATGAAACAGCTTTGCCCTGAATGTTGTTATCAAAGCCATAAAATGCTCTAGAATGATACGTTGAAACTTTATTCCTATCTTAAAAAATGACGTTAAACTTTACCATATCATCTGTACTTACCATCGGAGAAGTGAATGCTGGGTGTTGGCAATCAAGCGAAAATATGATGTATGATTAAAAAAATATTTATGTTACCTACATTCTGTTCATAAATGAATATTACTATTATACCCTTGTCATTTCTCTGACAATATATAGTGTATAATTATGCTCTATGCTTTCATTCGTCTGATGGGGCATCTGATTTCTACTGCTGTAAATACTGGGTCTCGCCAAATTGAAATTGTGAAGGGACGGCAGTGTCAAGTGTTAACGTTTCCATTGAGAAAGGATAGGCAACTATTTTTGTTTACTTGTGGGGTAGAAAAGAAGTTTACTTTGTCATGTCTTAGCCTCTCAGGTCCACATTTTCTTACGCTATATGAATAGATATGATAAGTGTACCATCTTCTGTACTTCAAGGGGGAGATTTAATCTGGATATGAAGGGGTCAGGTTCAAATCCTGGTGAAATGGCTCAATGGAGGTTCTGAAAATGTCTGAATGGTGGCAAGGGTTAAATCACCTGACCTTCGGCATTTGAAGTCAGGCCTTCTATGGGGCTAATTATGGGTTTTTTGAAGAATTTAACTAAATTGTCTAGACCATCAGAAACATAACTAACCTGATTCAAATGTACTGATTGCTGATGCGTTGACGTAGGCAAGCTAACCATTTAAGCCAATGAGCCATATTTGTTAAGGGGAAAACAAAGATAAATGCGGAAGGATTGTGAAAACGCACTTCATAAGCACAAACCACAGTTTTTACTTACCAGTCTACCCAAAAATTGGGTAAAATTCTAGTCCTGAAGCTAGAGTTTAACTGTGACAACTCTCTCGACTG